AAAAGAAATTACATTACTAGCACGTAATTTATTCCAATTACAATATGAAATTCCTTGTAATGGAATTAAAGAAAAAAACAATTCCATTTGAAATTACTTCAAGGAATTGAAAAAGTAATCGATTCCGTTGCAGTGAACTAAAGGAATTGAATCCTAATTACAATTACTGAGGAATGTAATTGTAATTGTAATGTAATTGCATTTACCCAGCTCTGCCCATAGTAATCTGGTTTAGATCCGATCGTTGGGTCATGAGATATATATATGTATATACATATATATCGTCGTTTAAAGTACAAGTAAAGTATATGAGAATTGAAGTCGGGTTTGTTTTTTGGTTAAAAATTACTTGTTTCATTTATCATTTTATTCAACAAACAACAACAAATTATTATTTTTTCTCAAATCCATAAGATACCTTATTTTTTTTAAAGAAGAAATTAAAAATATTATTATGTACATCATATTAAATGTACATATTAAATCGAAGTAAAATTTAAATTCATATTTTTCTCAAAACAAATTTATATATTCCAAGATAAATTTTATTTCTCCAAAAAACCTAAAACATCGTTTTGAAAAACAGTTATACTCTTTAAATTATACTGTTAATTTTTTGTCATTTTTGTGAATTTTTTTTCAAGAAAATCGTTTTTTCTAATAAATACGTTTTTAACTGTTTTGATAAAAATTTAGATTTTCTCTTAAAAATTATTTTTCCTTAAATCCCTGAAATTTTTTCCCAAACAAAGTTTGAGTAATATTGGTTACCAAATTTTTGCTATTTTTGTTTTTAAATGTTGTTCTTAAAATTTTAAAAACTTAAATACGTAACTGCCAAAATGCACACAATATTCTTATAAGCGCAGGACTTTTTGGGAAGTATGTTTCCCTTGGCCCCGAACGGATTAAAACGCAGATGCCGGGATATTTTTCCCTCATCGCAAATAGCTGAATTCAAGTCAAATAGTGACCTGCTAAGCCGATCGCTTGCAATTTAGTTAGGCTCAAAACCCTCCTTTGATCAAGCCATCGCTCGGATAGACTACCTTAGGTACACTTTAGTCATTCAGATTCCTGTAATACCACTGTTACCAAATCCAAATAAGTTTTATTGCGCAGTATTAAGATACGATTAAGATTAAGATTAAGATAACGTTTCAACATCGGTTCATACATTCTCTGGTCAGTTTTGATCGATTCATAATCAATGAACCCAGTGACTTAATTACTGATTTACTAGAAGACAAAGTGTTCATCTACTTGAAGCATATGTTTGGAAAATATTATTTTACCAACCTTGCCATTCAACTACTTCTGTGAAAAAATTTCCTGAACACTTTACCTATTTCGCAATCGGGTCCTCCCACTAACGAGTTAAGTCGAAGAGTACTCCACAAAAAGAAAAATTTAATAAAGCGTTAATGTTTTAGTACTAGTAAAATTCCCATTGCTTTCCCTCGCTTTACCCAACGTAGCTAAGTTTGAAAAACGGTGCCAAGAATTATGGAACATAAAACAATATGCCTACTTGAAAAAGGCCCTTCCCAAAAAGGGTTTGAATTTGTTTTTATTATAGCCACAACATTTCGTGAATCGGAGTATTCTGAAAAATTTTCATATCAGAATTTTCATTTCATTAGGCAGGTCTCATCGTTTACCTGTATTATGAAATTAAAGCTGGTGAGTAGCACAAAAACTAAAAAAATGGGGCTCACACCTTAGCTGAGTTTAGAGCCAAACTTTTCCTCCAATTTGTGGCGTAAATCTTCATACAAAACACAAATCAAGATGCCTATATATATGTCGCTTCCGAACGGTAGATGGTATTTATGAGAAGCTTTTTAGTGTTCGAAGTACACTTGTCTTGGCACAAACCGACAAACGGTTTCTCTTGTATGCCTTTCAATTATCGATTGGACCTGGACTTACCGAGTGATGTGCATACCATCAAATAAATCGTCTAAATACGCCATTTGATGGACATTGCGTCATAAATCTAACTTCTAAAAACTACTTTCCTGCCCTTCACACTGTTTTTCCCACTCAAGGAAAAGCTTAAAAAGAAATTGTATTACTCACCTAATTTTACAAGTTCAGTTAAGAATTTTGTTCTGAAAATCGACAGTTAACTGTCGAATATGAGCTAATTCTCACACCAGTGCAAACGGAAGTTTTGGTTTTGAAGCGCCAGAAATCGTACTCTTCTTTGCTGCGGCCCTGGCTGAGCAATAATAGGTATAACAAAATTTGTATGTAATTCTCATATTCAGCTTAACGTTGAGAATTACTTTGCGGCGCTTATTTTCAATTAAGCTCGCGCAAACATTCAATTAACAGTTGAAAGCATATGCCTTCTGCATATGAAAATATGTATTGTGGCACAAGTGTTTGAACTACTGTAGAACGACATGGGTGCCACCTCAAAACAAATTTGTTTTAGGGCAGGCCTAAGTATTTTGATCCGCGCAATTGTTGCGAAACATATTGGAAACAACCGACCATATATAATTATTTAGGCGGCGACAGAGCTACACCATGACTGTGATTGTGGCGAGTGTAGTTATATTTCTATTTCTCGAGCAACATTTAAGGTTATTCCTTTTCTTTTGTTACTTCCTTGTTCAAAAAATTCACGTCTCAACGACAAAGCGTTTAGATAATGAAGAAAAGCTGTGGCCGGTAGCCTGTGGGCCGTAATTTTCATTGTGTTTAAAGCATCAATCTAATCTCCACAATACATTGAAAGACCTTTCGTTAGAAGCTGCTGAAGTTCGAACCGTCTTTATCAAATTGACCAGTCTAAAAGGCTTGCCACACTAGCGGAAGATTTCTAAGCTGATCGGCTATTTCAGCGCAGTAAGTAGGGCTTTCTCATGGCATGTTTTTCAATATTTTTAACTGATTATAGAGGTTAGACAATTCAAAATTATCTGCTTAAAGTCCAAGCCTCGTTTTTAAAATGTCGTTTTTGTATATATCAAGAAGTTTATTTTCTTCCAAAGCATCATCTAGATCTAGAAAAAGATTGAGTTAAAATGACTAACATTATTATAATCATAGCCAAATGAATTCTATTATGATTAGATCATGAATCAATGAATATCTGGGAGGTGCATCTTTGTATACACTT